CAAATCTCTTCCTGCCATTTGGAAGTTGAGTGATTCTCAGCTGAACAGGCCTGTATATACGAGGTGCAGATGGCAGCAGTTACGGCCCTCACCAGATGCTGCAGTCTCTAATTTGATTGAAAGGATATAATTAGACAACAGAAACACTTTAATGAAAGAGCAAAACATGGAGGGAGGGAAGGATTGAAGGCCCTTAACTGATGCCAAAACACCCACCAGTAATAGAGGCTTTGAGTCTGGGGAAAGAGAAGGGGAAAACCCCTTAAAAGGACAGTCCCCATCCTGTTTATTTCCCCATAGAAATAGGAATAGGGATTTTATTATTGTAGATTTCCACTGTATTTTATGTGGGAACAATCTGATTAAAACCAGAAGGGTCTTCGGAAGAACATCAAAGAAAAACAAATATGGCTTCTGTGGTCATTATTAAAAATATTTTTACCAGCCCAATAATTTTCTTTGAAGATGAATTTTTATAGATTGAACAGCAGCAAGTAATTTACATACTGTGATGGCATTGGTTAACAAGCCCTACTATTCTAGCAGAGAACTACTTAGTCGCCATATTTTCATCCAACTTCAGGACACCAAGGAACATGGACAGCCCTTAACATATGTTTGGGAGGTATAAAGAAACCTTGTAGAGTGGTCCTATATGCTGATGCTGCACCCATTTTGAATCATCTTTAAAAGTTGTCTCTGCTGTTTTACTATTTGCTAGCTTTCAGACTTTGAGTGTGAGTAAACTGTTCTGGTTTTAACCAAGAATCTAACCAAACTGAAAAGAATCCAGCCCTCGAAATCTGAAGTTGCTAATGTGGTGTGACACTGGGGTTTGGAAGTGGCTGCAGCCGCCTCAGCCCACCAGAAGCAAGGCCCCGCCCTTGTGGTAAATTGAACAATAAAAGTTTGAATGCTTTGGTTACTTGCCAGGGATTAAATCCGTGGCAAAAAAAAAAAACACAAAACAACAACCAACAAAAAACCTAGACACTGGGCCCAGCAGAAGGACAGCCCAGAGAGGGTCCTGCTATCACTGGGAGGGAGGGAGGCAACCTTGCATGTGAGATGGCCTAAAATCTTTTGTCTTCCTAGCACCCAGCTTCATTCCTTTAACCCTAACCCTCTTCAAACTGCTGCAAGTTCAGGCCAGGGAGATGTTTACCTAGAAAGAAGTTTAAAAGGGGGTGGGCGGGGGAGACTTTCTTAGAGGAGAAGGCAAGTTTCTGTAGGGTAGCTGTTTTTGAGTAGTAGGAACACCCTTATGATGTTTCTACAATGGCCTCCTTCCTTTCCCTGGTCAGTCCAAATCCAGGATAATAGCTCAGAGGTGAGGTCTGGGGAAGCACTGCCATATTGACAGGAAGACACTGAAGGCAACAGAGAGACGGAAACATAGAGTAACCTTGAGCTGCTCCTCCTAGATGAATACTTCCAGGTTCCAGCTGGATTTTCAAGGTCTAACAGAATATGGAAGGAATGTCAATGCCAATCATTGTTCCCACCCATTCAGGGACTGCACAGTGAGCCAGCCAGGAACAGGGGGCTTGAGGGGATCTCACTTCAAAACTTCCATAGGTAGTTTTATAAGGGACACTTTTATTCACTTCCTCCTCTGTTGTCCTTATTCAGGAGGCAAAAAACTCAGACAAAAGCTACAGATCCAAACTTCCGGCCTCCCTCAAGTGTTTTGCATTAACTGTTCCACAGTACAAACACAATCAACTTGGTATGTTTGAATGTTTCAATTTGTTGTTTTTTTTTCAAAAATGTTTTAATTAAAACAGAATAACCAGCCTAAGCACATTGTTGGTTTTTTTTAAAGGCCACTTTAAAAATGACGATAGAACCATGGAAATAAAATTCAACTGTTTAGGAAAGTGATAGAAGTTTGTTTTCTTCTTCTTTTTCCCCGGCTGTTTCTCTAAGTCTCGGGGCTGGTGCCACCTGCTGCCTGGGCTTTCCTCTGAGAAACAGATCTCTCAACGGTTTGTTCCAAGCAACATCTGCATAGCTGAACAAACCATGGACCAGTTCCAAGGCAGGCACTATTTTCTTTATGTAGCGCACACTGAACCATGCTGGATTTCTTTTTAAAGCATTTTTTCAAAAGTCTTATTAAATATCCAAATGTATGTGCACGAACTTCCCCCCATATGTAACTTTTTTTTTTAATTGGTAGTAAAATACACATAACATAAAATTTACCATTTTGACCATTTCTCCCATATGTCTTTTAAAGTTAGTTAATAGGAAAAGGTAAAGGGTGCATTCATTCACCAAAATCAAGCCTCCTTGTCACCTTTCCAGGCCAGTGAAAATAAATCAATACATATGGACCTAGAACAGGATTTGGCAAAGTACAGCCTGTGGGCCAAACCTGGCCCACTGCCTGTTTTTGTATGGCTCATGAGCTAAGAATGGTTTTTAAATTTTTAAATGATTGAAAACAATCAATTTGTGTGACATATAAAAATTGCATAAAATTTAAATTTCCGTGTCCTTAAAGTTTTATTGGGGGAAAGCCATGCCAATTCATTTACATTTTGTCTATGGCTGGCTGTTTTTGTTCTACAAAGTCAGAGTTGAGTAATTGCAACAGAGTATGTGGCCCATGAAGTCCAAATTATTTAGTCTGGCCCTTTATAAAAAAAAACAAAAACATTTGCCAACACCTGACCTCGATGGAATTATAGGCTCAAAAATCCTAAACTAAAGTTGGCATATAGCCCACCACCAAAAATCCCTAATCTGTACCATGAAGGTATTTAAAGCAATACATTTTATCTTCATTATTTATTGCTGTTGATCCAACTATGTTAAATCATATGGAAGTGTGTCAATAATATCTATATTAAGTGCAACAACTTGTTTATTAGTAATGAGCCTAAGTGGACCTTCTTTTTGGGTTAAGATTTATAAAATGTCTCATTGCATATCTCAAACCTTTAAATAGCTTTGTCTACGGGGCCAAATCAGATGTTCACAAAAAGACCAGGGTTCTTTGATACCAGGTGAGTTTTGACAGTTTCTTAAAATAGTCAAAGCACGAAAGTAACTGGTATGCATGCCAGTCCACTTTACTCCTCTCAGACCCTCTGTTGCATACAGGTAATTCTGTTAACATGAAGGAAGTCCCCAAGAGGGACAGGGCTCTGTACAGTATGAAGCTCTCCCTGTTAACTGAACTCACAGGTTTTTTTTTTAAAGCTTGCTCCTCCCTGAAGAGCGCATATCTGTTTGTATTTTTTTTAATATATTTTATTGATTTTTTACAGAGAGGAAGGGAGAGGGATAGAGAGTTAGAAACATCGATCAGCTGCTTCCTGCACACCCCCCACTGGGGATGTGCCCGCAATGAAGGTACATGCCCTTGACCGGAATCGAACCTGGGACCCTTGAGTCCGCAGGCCGACGCTCTATCCACTGAGCTAAACCAGTCAGGGCAGAACTCACAGGTTTTATGGCAAGACATACCACTGGCTAATAGGATGAATTCTAGGGGAGGACTTAGAGGAGAATGAGCATCAACTATAAATCGCAGTTCACGGCATCTGTAACCTGAGTTGAGAAAGCGCACCTGATAGCCAAATGTTGTGAAACACCCAAGCAGGTAGTTTGCCTCTGACAGAAAACTCAAAGAGCCGAAGTCCACCCAGGCTTCTCTATTCTTCCTACCTCTTGGCTCTCCCCTGCAGGTCAATACATTCCAGATGGGAGTTCAACTTCGAAAAGCCCATCAACCCCATGGCCCTGGCTGCTTTCCTCCTTAAAAAAGGGAGTCTAGATTCCGCCATTAACCTCTATCTTCCTCCTTATCAGTAGGGAAGGAAGAAGAGAGTCTCAAAGCAAAAATGGAAAGGAGAAGAGAGATCATTTGGGGTTGGCTATACACTGTAATTAGAAGTAGCATTGATGGGGAATGAGCTAACTGTTTTTATAAAAGTCAGCATTCAAAAATGCAAACCACCAGTAATTTAAATATTACAAAATTGTACAGAATATAAGTACTTGAAATAATTTTTTCCATCCACAAAATTCTAGAGAAAATTATAGTATCAAAAAATATAAAATGGTAAGTTTGGTATATCCTCGGAAAAAAATGTGTTTGGTTGGGGTTTTTTTGGGTCTTTTTTTATTATTATTATTGGAAAGGATTTTAAAAACTAGTGGGCAGGCTCTAGATAGGATGTGATGCTCAAGACCATGTGGTATCTCTCTAAAGCTGCTTCCTGGAAGTCAGAGAAGCTCTGCAGTACCAGGACCAAAGCAAAAAGAGCGGATGAGGCTCCCTGAATTGGGATCTTGGGCCGCTTATCCTAAGCCGTTTCCCCGTGGTTATTTACTTGTCCTTACCTCAGACTCCCAAAGTAAAGCACACCGAGGTCTGAGGTCCAAATTATGGAAGAGCTGCTGCTTCTGACCCTTCCTGGGGAAGCGAAGGGTGCCACCTCCTCACAAGCAGCGAAAGCAGAGTTGGCTCAGGTAACACGTCTCAGAGCGACTCCTCTGCCCTTCCCACCAGGGGACCAGTTTATGTCCACCAGCACCTCTCTCTCCGCGGAGGACTTTAAATCCTGACCACACAGATGGCAGAGCGGTGCTAAGGCGTTACTAGGTTACAGTGATGTTGACATACCCTGGCTCTCCCAAAGTCCCTCCTTCATTCCTGACACACGGCAAACAGTAGAAGTGATCAAACTGGTGCACAAGTTTTTGTACAATTCTCCTAGAAGGCCGCCACCCATCACTCAGAAACCACTTCCTAAGCCTAAGGTTTACAATACTTGGAGACACCCCTCTGCCCCCCAAAACACACACACACACACACACCTAAAGCCAAGCTTTGCCTTTTACAGGGATTAATCAGGCTGTAAGATCAGAGCATTCTCAGGGCAAATGAGGTGCCCAGCACTTGGTGAACTGTGAAGCACTATAAAAAAAAGTATTATTAAAAATATATGTATCGATTCGATTGCCTTCTCTCCGTAGGGGTGTACCTGCAATATATCACTTCATCTTCACAGCCCCCCGGAAGGCGGTCATCATTCTCATCCCACCTTTACAGGCGAGGAGAGCGAGGCTCAGAGAACTGAAGGCGGGGCGCAGTCACGCTGTAAACCACAACACCAAGTCCTGTCTTTTTCACGCATCCACGCTGCTGAGTAAACAAAGCAACTCTGGGGTTTTCTCTCAGCAGCAAAAACTCCTGTCTTCCCAACATCACAGCCTGCGACCCTGGGTGGAGACCCCCGAGGGGGGCCTTCCTGCTCGGACACTCGGGGAACGAGCTCCTGCCTTCTTTTCCACTCGCCCCCAGACAACCTGCAGCGAAATGCAACCAACCGGGCCGGACAACGCCCTCTCGCCTCTCCCCAACGTGGAGAGGGTTCTGCTGCACGGAACCGGGCCGGACAACGCCCTCTCGCCTCTCCCCAACGTGGAGAGGGTTCGGCTGCACGGAACCGGGCCGGACAACGCCCTCTCGCCTCTCAGCGTGGAGAGGGTCCTGCTGCACCGAAGGGTGTGTGTGGAGCAGCGTCCCAGCTTCCATCCCGGTCCAGGGGCCCCACCTCGGGGAGACCTGGCCTCGGCCTCGGCCTGGGGGGGCGGTGACCCTGTTCAAAGTAGGGGGACTCTGCATCGCACCCCTAAGCTCTGCAGGGGAGCCGTGTCCCATCATCACCCCTTCCTTCCTCCCTCCCTTCCTTCCTCTCTCTGAGCTGGGCCGGCACCTGAGTCACCGGGAAGTTCAAAGCGGCCCGGGGGGCAGCGAGGGGGCGCTCCGGCGGCGAACAGCGGGTCCTCCCGGGACCTGCGAACTGCAGAGCCGGCAAGTCGACCCGGATCCCCGCGTGTTGGGCCATTGGAGCCGGCGCCCGC